GGTGCAATGTGACCTATCTTATTACAATAATGGCAAATAACATTAGGATTATTCATCCTATATGGTTGAGTGTAATGAGTTCTAGGTTTGCTAGGATGTGTTCTTCTAGTTTGATTATTTATCCTAGCATTTTTATTCCCCCTAGCTTTAACAAATGTTGTTTTTCTAGGTTGGTTTTTCTTATATCCAAGTCCTTCACCATTACTAACTTTTTGCTTAAGTATTTTATCTAAGGTGTTTGAAGCATTATTAAACTTTCCCAATTTGCTTTCTAAACTAGCAACTTTAGCTTTGAATGAAGTACAACTAGAGCATGTAGTGGATGAAGTAGATGAAGGTTCTTGTGGCCTTTTTCCAAAAGAGATAATTTCTTGTTTAAGTTTATCATTTATATTTTTGAGTTATTTGATATCATTCTCAAAAATCAGGATTTTTTGCTTTATTTCATTGTTTTCTTTGGAAGCCTTTTTGAACATTCCTACTAAATCTTCTACAATGCAAACAACATCATTAAGAGTTAAAGGATCATTGGGAGAAGGTTCTTGATCACTTACCTCTTTTGATGTTTCACCATCTTCAATGGCCATGAGACATAAGTTGGCCACTTCCTCCGTTTCCGAGTCTTCACTCCCGGAGCCGTCGTTCTCCCAAGAAATGTAGGTACGTTGCTTCTTCGGTGCCCTCTTGTCCTTCTCATTCTTGAGCTTCGGACACATTGGTTTGATGTGCCCAATTTCACCACACCCATAGCACTTGGGTGGAGTGTTCTTCTTGGCTCCCTTCTTGAGCATCATCTTCTTGAATTTTTGAACAAAGAGTCCGAGGTCGGTGTCGTCGCTATCATCATCTTCATCATCAACTTTGTTGTGGGTTGATGTTGTTGCGGATAGAGCAATAGACCTCTTGCTCCTTTCTTCAACCACCTTTGAGAGTTGAGTGGTTTCGTAGGTAATAAGATTACCTCGAAGAGCATCATAGGTCGTTGTTTGGAAGTCACGACCTTCTTCGATTGCGTCCACCTTTGAACGCCATTTTGGGGATAAGCTTCGTAGCACCTTTCTCACGAGTTCTCAGTCGGTGTAGGTCTTCCCGAGAAGATTGAGAGGATTAATGATGTTAGAGAACCTCTCAAACATTTCCTCAATCTTCTCGTTTTCCTTCATTGAGAAGAGTTCGTACTCGTGAGTAAGATGGTCGATTTTGGCCTCCCGAACCTGCGTGGTTCCTTCGTAGGTGACCTCCAATTTCTCCCACATTTGTTTTGCGGTTTCACACCGCGAAATTTTGCGGTAGTCATCCGCATTAACACCGCAATAAATCATGTTTATTGCCTTAGCGTTGAGCTCCATCTTTTTGCAATCTTCATCGGTGAACTCCTCTTCGGTTTTGGGAACATTGACTTCACCGACTTTCTTCATTGGGACTCCGCAGCCGTTCTTCACAATCAACCACAGCTTGTAGTCGTTGGATTGGATAAAGATTCTCATCCTCTCCTTCCAATACGAGTAGTTTGTTCCATCGAACAAAGGTGGCCTCGTGGTTGATTGTCCCTCGGTCACTCTTGCGTTGAACATCCTTGATGTCATTTGATCTTTTAGTTCTTGAAAAATAACGTATTCGAAGAACTTTCTGCTCCGATACCAATTGTTAGACAAATGTGCAACTCTATAGGGGGGTGAATAGAGTTGTTTTCAAGAATGTGCATTTTTCGCGTGTGTGAAATAATAAAATCGCAGGAATAAATAAAGAGAGTAAGGGAAAGAAGAACACCGAGATTTATACTGGTTCACCACCTCGTGGCTAGTCCAGTCCTCCGAGAGACTCTCTCGAAAGTCCTACTAATCTTTAAGCTTCAACGGGTGCTTGAAAAACCGGTACAACTTGAGAACTTGAATCACACAAGCCTCACTTTCTTACAACAACAAGACTTGAGTCACACAAGTCTTAAGAACAACACTCAAATGAGATTGAGTTTACAACACAAAAATGAAAGCTCACACAATTGAGCAAAGTAGTGTTGAAGAATTAAAGCTCTATGGATGACAACTTCTTTAGCACTCAAAGAAAATATATCTAACTCTCAAAAATAAATATTTTGATGAGGAAGATGGAAGCAAGAATTGAATATTGATCAATGAAGATATTGGAGTGCAAGAGATGATGTTTAATGAAGGAGGATGAGTGTTTTTATAGGGGAAAAAGAAATAAATCCGTTGGAAGTAGGGATGAAGTGTTTTTGACAGATTGGACCGTTGGGGATCGATCCAGGGCAAAGGATCGATTATCTGGAGTAATGGATCGAAAAAGATTTTCTGTCAAAGCCACGGGGGATCGATCCAAGGCAGGGGATCGATCTTGTTAGGCTCAACTTCAAGGGGAAATGGAGGAGAGGGAAAAGGCTGTTTTGTGGGTGCTTTGGGGCTGGAACGTATGGGATAAGAGAGGGGAAGTTTGGGGTTATGTTGGTTAAGGGATGAGAAAGGAGAATGAGAATGGGGTGGTTTTGAGGTGGTGGCCAAAAATAGAGTAG